AGAATTTCTCCAAAATTTTCTTTCCCCCAGCCTAATGTTAAATTTCTCTTCTCGTAAACCCATGGAGAATATTCAAAAGACACACACACCACAAGACAAATATTTGGCACAGCACGAGTTCAAACGGCACAAAGGGGGGGGGTTAAACTGGCTATACTACAGCACCCCAATAAATTGAGCCCTTGAGAGCTAAATTATGTAATTCCCCTACACCTCTTCCTAACCATCTCAGTTCTGAATCCTCTGTCTTTTTTTCTTTTTCTAAAGGCATGTTTGGCGATGAAGCCATTCATAACTGCCTATCCACAGACAGTTTGTGGTGGTGTAATCGACAGTGAGCCCACTGCAAAAAAATAATAAAAATGAAAATGCTGTTTTAATAACCTTATCCTAAAACACATTTTGTTGTATGCCTCAAAGGGTTTCAATAAAAAAAAACCCAACCTGCAGAGACATATTTTCTTGGCTTAAACACCAATCCAGAGGATATAAATGTAGTCCAGCTATAATGACATATTTATAGGCCTATAAAGCTTACACTACAGCTTTCATACTTCACTTAAAGGAACTCTGTAAGAAGCAGTGTTATATAAAATAATTTGATTTTCCCCTTTTGCAGACGGTAGACCAAGCAATGAAGATACATATGTATTTTTCAAAAAATCAACTTCCCCATCTTTAATAGACACGTTTGCACTGCATAGTTGCGAAAAAATCTGGAAAATGAATAACCCATCAGTCAGCTATTTTCTTCTGCTTTACCAAATATGGATATGCAAGTTCATTTGCTTTTTTTAAAAAAACAACCCTTTCAATGATTTTGAAGACAAAAACAAAGCAAAACAAAAACCCACACAACTAAAGGCCCTACAAGTGAGTGATTTAATCAGACCAATTCTTCTGGAAAAACAGGTTCCCATGCTCATTATGAATAATACATTCCACAACCAAATCTATTTTTATCTGCACAGTATTGTTGCTTTTCTGTTATTTTGATAAACAAATGAAAGAAATAGCCTTATTTATGCACACCAGTCCACAACGCCCTTACTACAAAGTTGCGCCTTGGGCTTGGATGAGATTTCTCTGAAGTAAAGGAACAGAGGGGGACAGGGGCTAGGCCAGACCTTTTACCTCACGGGTAGCCAATGTGCTGTCCTCCTGATAAAACTCCCATTATGCCTGATCATTGGCCACACTGGCTAAGGCTGGATAGAAGTCGTAGTCCAAACCAAACGACACAGAGAGCACAGCAGCCATTTTGGGGGCCACAATCTCGCGCGGGTCACTGCCCCACAAGATGGCATCTTGGTTTTCCACCTCAGAATGTTAGATGGTATGCAGTATTGGGGGGAAGGGGAAGACACACCACATTGGCTATGCCTGCTTTAGTTTATTTTTGTGTTAAATAAAGAGGAGCTAGCCCAAGTTGCTGCCTCCAGCTTATCTCCCAATAACCCACAACAACAGGACCTGGTGTCTTTCATTGTCCCTGTTCCCTGACACCTTGCCTTTATCTCCTGATTCCCATCCCTTGCTTCTTTAAGCCTCCAGCACTAGCAGAACAAATTTATTCCTCAATAATGCAGGGGATGCCGCAACTATTAATTAGAATGGAGCGCAAGGGGCAGGGGGCGCCACTAAAACTCGAGACCCCAAGGTCCACCACTGCATGCAACATCTATCATGCTTCTGAAGTTATACTCAGATGAATTTATACTGATTGCATAAAGGTAAAGGAACCCCTGCCCGTATGGGCCAGTCGTGTCCGACTCTAGGGTTGCGCGCTCATCTCGCTAAAGAAGCTGGGAGCCGGCGCCGTCTGAAGACACTTCCGGGTCACGTGGCCAGCGTGACGAAGCTGCAACTGGCGAGCCAGCACCAGTGCCGCACACGGAAACGCCGTTTACCTTCCCGCTATAAAGCGGTACCTATTTATCTACTTGCACTTAGGGGTGCTTTCGAACTGCTAGGTGGGCAGGAGCTGGGACCGAACAACAGGAGCTCACCCCGCCGCGGGGATTCGAACCGCCAGCCATGCGATCGGCAAGTCCCAGGCACTGAGGTTTTACCCACAGCGCCACCGATTGCAGAGCAGCCACACAATTCTCAGACTGTTGGAGGTGGCATCAGTTTGTGTGAAGTCTCGACAAACATCAAGACTTGCTGCAGCTACGGAGCCGTGATTCTATACGCATTTACGGTGCAATGACTACCCTAAAGTAAATCCCATGGAACTCAGTGGGCTTACTCTCAGCTCAATGTGTATAGGACGGCCGCCATATTTGGAAGCACCTACCCACAAGGGCTTAGAACCTGCTTCTAAGTAAGCATGCCAGAACACACAGTACTGCTTCCCAGATTTAACAGATGCAGTTGGGAGCTCTCAATCCCAGCTACCGGGCACGATCCAGAAAAAGATAAACACCCTTAAGGCTAATTAAAAGAGGACATAATGGCACAGTTAACATGTGCTAATACCAGAAGGGCTTAAGGTGCACCCAGCCCAGGGCTATGTGCACTTTATTAACATTAAATTTCCTGGCAGCAAATATTCTGTACCAAGAACATCTGGATTCTGCGCCCTCTATGAATTATGCGAATTTGGCTAAATTACATTATTTTGCATAATTTATTATGGCTTTTTGCTAGTCATAGGGGAGCATAAGGAGCTATGAAAAATGCTAAAACTCTGCTGTCAGTCGTTCAAAATATTGTTGTCACCCCTCTTGTTAAGATTTGAGCAAGCACTGACTGCAAAGTTTTAAAGGTATGTTCATAAGGACTAGAAACCTTTAAAAAAGAAAAGAAAGATGATGTTCTCAAGAAACTGAATTCTGCACCCAATGCCACCACATTCCATGCTTTCTCCATCCTCCTGCAGAATTACAACAGAAACACAGCGATGGCATAACAGCCATGTATCTGGGAGCAGTAGGTAGCAGCATATGTGCTGATTTCATGTGCAAAAAGATGTGTAAAATGGCAGAAGGGATGCAACATTCATTCTCTCAAAGGGAAAACACTATCTATTTGAATGTCAAAAGCCACAAAGAGTAAGATTTATCCTGAAATGGGAAAAGTCTAATAGAATTTAATTGGGATGAAAAAGTAAGTTCCAACAGAGAGCTGAAAGGGACCAAAATTACTTTACATTTCTTGCCTGTCTTCTGATTACTCCGTGAACTGTTTGATTTACTCTCACATCCTCAGTTTACTGGTCTAAATGTATTTTTAAAAAAATCACACCAGGCTTCATCTTAGGGATGGGCCAATCTATTTCTAGCCTATGTCACTTTAGCAAATATTCATTCACAAACCTGCTCAATAAATGGCATTTTTTTAAAAATAATAATAATTGCACAGACCTTCACATTGAAATGAGAATTCAAACACATCTTTCTGAATGCGTCTTGCAAAATAAACATTTCTAAATGTATTTTATATAAAATATATGCATTTTAAACACAAGCTGATGCATTTTTCTCTTTTTGAGCCGAGAACTGCATCACAAAGAATGAAATCCAAGGGGTGACTATGTTCTAATCTGCACATTAGAACAAGAGATGAAAATCACGTCGGTTTGCAATGGAATTTCCAAAGAACGGCCTCCTCAAATGCCCTTGATGCAACAGTGCATGTACAGATTCTAAGCGGGGCACACTGGTAGCCTAATAACAAATTGCAAGACCCTGCACAGACTGTCCCTGGTCTAAATACCGCTAAAGAAATGTATACTTTATATAGATACAGTATATATAGATATATAACTTCCCGTCAACAACGCTACATCTATTTATACCCAGTAACAACTTAACCTTGTATTCAATAGACGCCGAAGGCAATTGTCTCACCAGGATGGCAAGGCATGCGTTTTCACTTTTAATTTCTTATCTCCTATTTATGGCTTACCCTTGGAGCTATTTAAACATCACCTTTTCAAAAACAAAAACAACTGGGCAGGTACAGCTTCTTGCAACTCAACTGTGGAATCAATACACTTCCCCTTCTGTAATGTGCAGGACAGGGGTGGGAGTGATAAAATCTATGATGCGCATGCAAAGAACTGCACAAGTAGGTCAAGACACTGTGTTGGTGTGTTCTGGGTATCCCAGCACTCTGAAGGGGGCTTCTGTTGTAGAAATGGCAGGCATCAACGATACAGCTGAAACTGCTGAAACTGAGGGGACTTTCAGCAACAATGGGTTCATTAGGGATGGTGTACGACATAGAATAACTTTTTATTATGTCTCGTGTTAATCAGTGGGAAGGAACCCGGGCCACAAAAAAACACCTTGGTTCAGCTTTTTCTACAGATTCTTTTTGCCATGTTGGATCCCAGAGCAAAAGAGAAACAGATAGTTCTATGGGACCCATCATTCCTTGAAGTCAAAGTGTGTGACCATCAAGTTACATGGTATCTAGGACCGGCCCTAATATTAGGCAGAGCAAGGTGGCCACCTCAGGTGGCTGGAACATGTGGGGCAGGCAACAGTGCCTTGGAGGACAGAGCTGCATGTGTCCTGCAACTTGTTTCCCTTGAGGGTGGTGAAGGATGCTGTCCTGTCACCAGTGTTGAAGTAGCCATTAACTTCAGTCTAGTCAAGTTCTGTGCACAGAATGGGACGCCTCGGGTGGTAAGACGTCTTACACCGGCTCTGACAAGATGACATCGAAGGAGCTACTTTAGGCATGCCTAGTAGGGTTATTTTAAAACTCCCCACCTCCCATCTTTGCCCTGCTGACCCCTCGAGCAATATTACAACCTGATGTCAGAAGCTCCTTATATAGCAGCTTGATGTATAATACTGTGTGTGCAGAGGGGGGTGAGCTTTATTTGAGGTACACAATCACAAAGAGACCTTGGGGTAGCGGAGATGGTTGCCAGATTCTTTAGATCCCAGCCACATGCCTCTTTATCCAACAGACAAGCGCAATGGAAAAGTTGTCCAGCCAAGAGTCACAGCACCCATCACATAGGAGGTGAACTGTGTACTTACCAAGGTCAGCCTTTTCCTTCAAAATGTCTCTAAAGTTGAGGCCGCTGTTGTGTGTGGTTTGCCTGAACCTGCCCAGCGCTTCCTTCTGGCCATTCTTTCCCAGTTCCGTAGGTCTAATGGCTTCACCCCGGAGTCCACGTTTCCATTTGGAGAAATCTGCCTGGGCCCATTTGGCCAAGTCTTCGAGCTTCACCGTGACCTTCTCTGAAGCAGCAACAACTTCATCCTGCAAGAGACAACCAAGAGAGGGTCACATTTGGCTCCGCAATACACGGCAAAGGTTATTGCTCTGAGTCTGTGACGTCTGCTCACAGCCGTTTCGATAAAGCTCTTGCCAGGTTCATTTTCACCACCACTGAAACAGAGCATCCTAACCAAGAGGAGATCGGTAAATTTGTGGGTGCGTGCTTTTGTGTGAAATAACTTTTCCTGTACCTCTTCCTCTTTCGCTTTCTCAGACACATTCACGCACATCACCCACACAGGGCTCAGAAATAGCATTCACATACCGACAACAATTTCATAGGGTGGCCACCAGTTAAATACCAAAAAGAGGCAATGCACCACAACAAAGAAAGGGCAAAAAGAGAGTGCAGATTTTAATAAAACCTACTTTCTACATAGAGGTGCAAATTTGGAAAAAAAACAGCTATCATTAAAATGGAAATACAATGCGTCTCACCACACTGGGGGAAAGTGACCAGGTGACCTGCTCAACAGATGTTCATTCTTGATGGGAAACCTCAAGGCTCTCCCTTCCTGCAATTATTCTATCTGCAAACCAGACTTGGGCCAGATAGCTCTTGGAGAAGATTCCTTCAAACAGGGGTCTGGCCTCCAAGGGTCCTTCTCATGTAGGAAAGTCCTCTGCAAAGTAGGGCACAAGGCCACTCTGCCAGAAGTGGCTCGCTGGGTGGGGTGGAGCTGCTACTCTAGTTTCCTGTTAGGTGGGTCCCTGTTGCTCACCAGGATGGAGGGAGCGAAGGAGGTGGTGGGGAGGTTGACATCTGCTTGTGCCCGCTACACAACACACAAGCTAAAAGTTGATAAACACCATTTCTGTCTACTGCTTCCACCCAACACCACACAAACTCATCTGTCCCTAGGTTAATATGCTGACACTTTTGCTTTAGAGTTTTGAGTGGTTGGAATGCTCATAAACATTCTGTGACATCTTGGCAGCTGAGCCCATGGCTACAAAGGTCTTAATTCAATATATTGAAGCAAGAGCTCTTACAGCCAATTGCTACAGAGATTTTTTCAAAGATTGCAGCATTTTACTTTGGTTATTTCTTCCTTTGCCAAGTTGATTTGATCGGGGAGGGAGTAAATTGGCAAAAGCACTATTCCACAAATCTGTGTGTTTTCTGCTTTAATCTGATCCCGCATTCAAATACGTCTATAGTAAATGCCTTAAAAGATTAAGATGGCTTTTCATCATCAATAGATATAGCAACATCACATCTGTGGATATTTTCATTTTTAGTGGATCTGTTATTTAAGCCAACTTTTTACATGATAAAAAATATATATACTGTACAGTGGTACCTCTAGTTACGAACTTAATTCATTCCGGAGGTCCATTCTTAATCTGAAACTATTCTTAACTAGAGGTGTGCTTTCGCTAATGAGGCTTCTTGCTGCTGCTGCGCCACCGGCACACAATTTCCATTCTCATCCTGGGGCAAAGTTCTCAGCTCAAGGTAACTCTTCCAGGTTAGCGGAGTTTGTAACCTGAAGCGTTTGAAACCTGAGGTATTTGTAACTCGAGGTACCACTGTATATCCATGAATATCAGGCAGAGCTGGCCCAATCATGAGGCTGCTTCAGGTGCCAGAAGTCCCCCAGACAGCATGCCCATAGGTGCCCCACCAACTCCTTCTTCGCCTCTGCCATTGGTGGAGAAGCATCGCTGCCATCGGTGCCAATTTTAGGAAGGATGGCGAGATCTTGCAGAGCACTCAAGATTTCACATGGTTTTGGGTGAAATCTCACCCCAAATCGGTGTGCCCTTGCTCAAATTTGGCACCGGTGGTGGTGCTGCTTCTCTGTCAGCAGCAGATGGGGCAGGGCATGGGGCAGTGACAGTGACTAAAGTGGGTATATGGTGGCAGGAGCAGCAGGGCCAAACAGCACTTCCTGATTCACCTCAAGCGGCAAAATAGGATGTGCCTCCCCTGATATGTAGAAAGAAATTCAAAATCAGGAGATATATACATATATTCTGGGCACTGCCTTAAGTGCACTTTTTGAAAATGCAATTAACCTGCAAAGGTTAAAAAAAAAATCATAGCCAGATGACTAATGGTTCTAGCTAGTCCTCACATAAATGATCTTAAGTAAATATGGGATTCCTGGAACTCTGACTCACTAGAAAATTCCTCTGTTTATGGTACAGTTTCCCTGGCTTATATACAAATATTGAATTTAAGTCTTATCCTAAAAATTAAATGAAACTGTGATGTAATCCCAAAAGAAATACTACAGAAATTCTACAAGTTTCCTACCAAAAGAAACTGGCACATTCTCAGGTTTCCTGCACATGTTTTCAAGATCAGAAACTAACAATACTCCCCCTGCCCACATCCCTCCTGCCTTTAAACATATATTTTATAGAAAAGCTGCTTAAATTTAGTTGAGCCTGCAGAGAATACACATGAAATAAGTACCTCTCTCTCTTTTAAAAATTATCATAACAGATCGTGTTACAACATAGAAAACATGAAATAAGCGCTTTGAGCTGTAACCTTCCAGGAAAAATACCAGCTCGTTTCACCCATGATGAATAAGCAAAACTGTGTTTTACAGAACTCACAAAGGTAGTAAAGGAGCAAAATGCTATAGTAGCAAAACCAACATTCCATGATTTAAGTCGGATACTTGAAACAATCAGGATGCAGCAACTCAGGGAATGCTGAGGAGTCAGTGATTTTAATGGAGTAACTCTAGAATAAATTAACTGGGGATTTGTAGCTTCAAATCAACCTGCCTTGCATTCATTACTGAACTAATGCACATGAAGTGCTTTGAACTCCCAAACAGGCGGAATAATGGAAAATATTATTATTATTATTATTAAGATTACATCCTATGCGTTTTGTTGCAACTTCAAAATATCCACCTCATGTTTTTATCTTGCCCTTTCCCCCAGGAACTCTTCTGGTAGCAGCCATGGGGTTTATCCCCATATTATCCTCACTACAAACTTGTAAAGTAGGTTCATGATCAATACAGTCCATTCCATTTAGGGCAAATGGGGCATTGCCCCACCAGCATCTGTCTGCCTTCTTACTTACAACCAGTCAGGGAGTGGCTGTCATAGCTCCTAGCCTTACCTGCTGCTTGGACTCTCTGTCTACTCCCTACCAGTTGCAAAGGGGACCAGCCAACACTATTCACAGCTAAAATATGGGACTGGCCCAACGATAAACAATATGGGTCATCACTGAATGGGGATTTGACTCTGGGCCTCTGTGGCCCAACTCAAAAACATTCTGTCCACCACCCCTGGGATGGACTACATGGAGCACTCCAGATATGGCTTAATTCCACTCCCATCAGCCCCAGCCAGCATGGCCAATGGTCAGGGATGATACAAGCTGTAGTTCAGTAATATCTGGAGGGTACCATGTTAAGCACCCTGCCTCGCATCATACCCTCCAACGTCCTATTCCATCTGACTGGGTTGTCACTTTGAACGCCATACTGGGGCAGCTTCCAACATATATAAAAACATAACATTGAACATTTAAAAACTTCCCTATACAGGGCTGCCTTCAGATGTCTTCTAAAGCTTGTACAGTTACTTATCTCCTTGGGTCGGGGGCTGCATACCTCCAACATTTCTCTGATGAAAATAGGGACATCCCAAGAAAAAGCGGGGCATTCCAGGATCAAATCAGAAACCAGGACAGCTTTTGTAAATCCAGGACTGTTCTTGGGAAGTAGGGACACTTGGAGGGTCTGTTACACTATACTGTATAATGCTCTGTATACAGCAGATAATAATAATAATTTATTATTTATACCCCGCCCATCTGGCTGGGTTTCCCCAGCCACTCTGGGCGGCTTCCAACAGAACACTAAAATACAATAACTTATTAAACATTAAAAGCTTCCCTAAACAGCAGCAGCCGACAGTGGGGTAGGGTAGAAGCACTCAGGTGACCTTCCAGCAGGTGAGTCACCACTGCCAACCACGAGGCGCAGGATGGTGGTGAGATCGGCACAGTGCAACGGTTACGGCCAATCCACTCCAGCGCTCCTGCCAATGCATTTGCACCATGCCACCCTCCCCAGCACCTTGCCTCTCCCCCGCCAGGCAAGTGCCCCTGCCCCACCACACCATCTGCCACATGCATGGCTCACTCATGCATGTGCAAACCCTTGAGTGCAAGCTCCCTGAGTCAGCCCCATTGGAAAACAATGCTTTCGAGGCTGCAAACGTTCTACCTCCAGTGTCCTATCTCTGGTGGCCCATCCAGCCATGCAAATCATCACCTGATGTTACATCAGCAAGTGATGAAGATACATGACTGTGAATCAGCCTTCAGACAAGGCAAAAAGGAGACACGGTTGTTATTACAAAAGGATAAAGGCATGAACTGGCTCCCATCTGTTTTAACACATGCATTCCTCTGGTAATAAGATATTGCTTAACGGCCAACCAAATGAAGAAAACATGGGGGAGGGCTATTATGAGAGGTTACCCCCAGTACTTTTGCTTTTGGGGAGGGAAAGCGGCTTAAAACACACACACACACACACAAAAACCATTCCTCCATTTTGTGAATCAAAATGTTTGAACAAGGAGTCATCTCCTGCTAGATATCGATCAAATATTTGGTCAAAAATAAAAGGCAAGATTGAGGGCTTAGGATACAGTAGAGGTACATTTTCTATGATCTTCGACTAAACCGTGGAAACAGTGCCTTAACTTTCTGTCTGTATTAAATGTCGGTAATCTTGTCAACACTGCACAGTATGTTGCAATGGGTACCTAGAGAGTTGGCAGAGCATAGTATCTAAAAGCACAATGTGTGAGCTGGCATTTCCATTCCTTGATAATATCTCACCTCAGCCACTGACTTGCTAAGCAGCCTCAGTCCAGCCACTATGATCTCAGACTCAACCCCCTTCTGTCTAATATTATGGGGATAACAATACTGCCCCTACTTCAAATGGGTGTTGTAAGAATTATACAAGATCAGGTTGGGGAGCCTGTGA